TTTTTTTTTTTTTTTTTTTTTTTTTTTTTTTTTTTTTTTTTTTTTTTTTTTTTTTGAAACAGGAGATGAGGTAGGTATGAACAATAATTACTGTAGGCTCGATAATATATAATTCTGATTTTAGATGCCTATGTTTTCGCGCATATTTAATCTGCCATACAGGAGAGGAGACAAAAGAAAAATATGAAAGCTGAAAGGAAATAATGGGATAAAGAAAGACAAGAACATTGATTTTATGATCGCTAAAGGTGCAGGTAAAAAAAAAGCACCTAAGTAATTCAAAAACTTACAGAATATATTCAGGTGAATTTGAATAAGAAGTAAACATGTTTTGCAATTTTAACATTTTTTAGAATTCATGTATGTATGGTTGTGATGATATCCGCACATTCTAAATGGTAATACTGTATGGACATACAAAATGGCACATTATCGTACTAGTATGTTCAATGAGCCTTCGATGTCAACAACATCACTTAAACTCCAGCCAATAAATGCAAGGAAAGCATAATAATAACACTTGAGACATTTTAGATTAAACATTACCTCACTAATACCATCTTAGCCTCTAATTTTTCTTTCAAGATCAACTGCGTGTAGTAACACTATCTAATTTATGTAGCGTGAGTGAAGGTCTGATAAGCCTACCTAGGTGTTATGTAAATTGGTGGGAAAGGGATCTACGCACGTGGCTGTACGCGTAATATATTTACAGCATTGCCAATGCCAACCCGCAAGAGTACAACCTTTAATATCAAAACATTTTAACGCATTTCATTTTAAGTAAGACCGTCAGCCTCGACGTATTTTGTTTTGGTTCTCACAGTACCATCTTCTTGTCAAACTTCATTTTATACTTAGAAAACTAATCAACGCAATATTTATAACAATTCCGAGGCTTTTCACCCAAGATGAAAAATGAATGCAGAAATTACACGCAAGAAATTTGGCCCAGTTTTCTTTTCAAAATTACTGCAATGGTAGATAATAATCGATGTACGATTTTGCAGAATTCAGTTATTGATATGAAAATGAAGCTGAAGCAGCACTCCCCTTCCCCCTGAAAAACATAGAAACCATAGAACGCTCTGTTCGAACATGCGTTAATAGATCAAGTTGATCAAGTGCAAGGTTACAATTGCGCGCAGTTGCATACTACCGTGCAATAAAAATGCATCCATGCAAGCCTCTTGCCCATTGGGCTTCCTGTCAAAGCGGCAGCCCTGCAACTATGCACTTGTCATTCATTGATGATAGATCTGTAATTAATGGTTGAATCATTGTTCAAGCGGACCTCTTGACCGTCATCAATTTACTATCATTTCCGTATGATTCAAGTAGCTAGGTAAATTCTGCGTCTTGTATCCGCACTTGAAAGGATTGTTTACCAGTTTTACTCACTTATTTTTGCGACTGCATGATTTACTTGGATCTTGCATCTAGTTTAAAGGAGGCACCTGCTCCAGTGGTGCTCTTATGCATTGTGATAAAAATTAGATGCGAATTTTAACCGAGGTTTAGTCTTACATAGCTGTGACGATGTGAGTGGCAACTTCCGCTGTAATTCAATTTTTCCAAGAACCTCACCATACACTACCAACTGGTAAGAATTGATAATCTATTTGATCAGTGCTTATCAATATTATACAAGTAATGGAGTATTTGCACAAAACAATTGTATTTCTTCGTCCGAGAGTCCCTAATAAGCTGAGTTTGTAATATTTTTATATTTTTTTTTGAAATTGTAGGTAAGAAGATTTAAAAGTGTGAAAATGTACCGCCTTGTGACGTCATCTGGTGGCATTTCCCATTTAAACACATGTATTTCAGCAAATTAGGCCATTATGTCATATTATCTACAATAATTGTTCAATTTAGAAACCAAGGATATTCTCGTGCACTGAGCACGAAAAAAAAGATAACTATCTTTTTTTTCTTTTTTTCTGTTTTTAACAAATAAATTTATTATGATTTTTACATGGTGGATGCTCAGTTATTTTATCAGCTCCATTTTAAACATAAAATTTAGACAATTTCAGACACTTGCTTATGCTCCAATGGAGATTATAACTTTTGATACAAACCAATATTCCAAGCTTACAATTAGTTGTGTGATTCCCAGAGGCATAGTTCAAAAGTCATGTCGAGCGATTTATCGTAGTGCCTCTTAGTTGTATTTTTACAATACCAGATCTCCATGGTTGAAATTTCGATACACTTACTCAAAAAAGCTGAAGTATGTTGGCCGAAACGTCTCGATGGTCAAACCGTCAATAAGCTTTCACAATGCGTTTCATCGTTCCATCCATGAATCCTGACATTTTGGTCACAACCAACAAGAATGGCCTTTGTTTATAAAGTATGTGCTTATATAAGTATGAACTGTGGTTACTATTTTAAATTATTGAATTTTTATAATTAAAAGTGGGTTTCAGGACATTTTGTCAACGATTTTTTGTCCGCGCACCTTTCTTGTCCAGTAGTTTACGCCCACACGTAAAATAAGCAACAGTGACTTGGTCTAAGCGTTATATGGACCGCGTTAAACAGAAAGGAACCAAGCCACATCAGCTATTGCCAAATTTAATTGGGCAATTTAATTTTTTACACGAAAACGGTTGTGCGGATGTTTGTGCTCTCTATGAATTTTCTCCATAATACAGAGCAAATTCCTTAAAATTTTCAAAAGAAATCTGAGAAAACGTTCTCTCGTAAAAAATTAAATTGCCCAGTAAAACTTGGCAATAGCTGATGTGGCTTGGTTCCTTTCTGTTGAACTCGGTCCATATTTTAGTCGGTATGTAAAATTATATTGACAATATGGAAATGAGAAATTGAGAGAGAAGGAGGTGTTGTTATGCTTGCTCATTTTCTAAATGAAATGTTATTACTTACTCCTTTTGAATCATCTTTTAAAATTGTCATTGGTGAATCTTTCGTTTTATTTCTATCCTTAAAATATTCGATGTACAATACACCTTATATATGTATAGGTGCTTATTTTATTTTTTTAATTTTTTCTTTGCGAAATTATTACTTCATTTTGAAAACATTTATATTTTTAAAACGTGACAAATATTTGTAAAACCTTTTCCAAGCGACACTAACCTCAATGAGCCGCAGTATTGCCGACAGAAACTGCAAAAATGAATAAAAGAGGAAAAACCAAGAAGCACGCAATCTTTAGTTTTAACCCGTTTGTACATCGATCTTTCAGAGTCAAATACGTCAAATTTTGAGCGTTTCGTTGCGCGTACACCTCGCTGCAGCACAATAAAAGCACAAAATGTAAAAGAAAAATTAAAGTGCTTTGGAAATCATTAAATTTGACACGGAACCACCAATATTTAAAAAAAAAAAAACACACGTTATATTATTATTCTCCTTTGATAAATTGATACATATTTTTTCCCATCAATTTAAATGAGAATAATCAATGCAGAGTGTGCTAACATTTGAAAATCATGAGTTAAAAAACGCTGACTATGCGAGTATAAATTTAAAAGCCGAACAGAGCGGAGCGGCATGCTGCCAGCGAGAGAGGCTCACAGGCGCCTACAAACCTAAGTGGATACCTCACGCATTGCACAATGCTTGAAGTATCCACTTAGGTTTGTAGGCGCCGATGCGTGTTCCGCGCTGGCCGCCCGCCCGCCCGTCGTGCGGCGGCGCCTGAAGCAACCATTTCACAACAGAGGTGTTGCACAGTATTATACGAAATTGAACGTATTAAGAATGACAGGCATCCTTGAAAAGTGTAGACCTTTCCTAGTAAAATAAATCAAGATACTTATCGTACACAAGAAAAATCTCAGAGCCTTTAGCTGAGGCAAATATAGAGGTTTATCCGGTTCAGGTATAACACGGTGGGTATTTCTTGAAAGATAATTAAGTCCTGTTACACCAAAGAGGTGTAGAGAGTTTTAGTGAATTTTGTCTCATGAAATTGACGCTCCCCCATTTTTACCAAAACTCTCAACTATATATTATTCTCCGTTGGACCAAACAGACAAAACAAAAAAACATGCAAACCCTCACTCTTCCAAGACATTATATATTTTCATCCAAAAACATCGCGAGCAATTGTTGTTTGTATTTACATGTGGGCCAATTAACATTGGGTCTCAACTGGCACGTGGACCAAAACTCCCGTGCCGAAAAAACGCGTAGACGTAAATTACTGGAAAAAACAGGTGCGCGGACAAAACATCGTTGACGAAATATCCTATAACCTTAAAGTTGGCTGGTTTTTCTGAATTCGAAAAAGCGGTACGAAAAACTGATGATCAAATCTAACAAGGAATCTTATTTCGGATTATGAAAAAATAGATAATTAAGTATTTTGTGGCGTACATTCTCCTTTTTTGGCGTACAGTCAGCACTGATTCCTCTGAAGTATATTTAAACGTATATTTCGACCAGACGGAACTATGCGCATTAAGACGTGAGCTCTAAGACCCTTAAGAATATATACATAACAGGGCTCACGTCATAATGCACATAGTTCCGTTTGGCAGGAATACGTCCATTTTACAAAACATGTTTAAATGAATACAAAAAATAAAATAAAAACAATTACTTACATCCATACCTATCTTTCCAACCCTAAAACTCTCTCTTCACACTGTAACTTCTCTTCAGATTCTTCAACTTAAATTCAGTCCGACGATGATTCTGAACCCACTGCTCGTCATATTGAGTGTGCTCTCCGGTTTAGAAGCGTACAAAATACTGGTTTTTTATCCTACCCCATCTTACAGCCATCAGCGTGCTATCATCTCTTTGACCGAGAGGCTTGTTAAGGATGGTCATCAACTGTTTGTCATCAGTCCCAACGTTGTTCCGGTAAGTATTCAAATTTTCGGGGATAATCATACAGCCGTGCTACACACACTACACTCTTAACAAATCTTACCCTAAATATAAAATCATTAGAGTTAAGAATATGATTTTGGAAATATCAATGCACTGTTGAAGTGCACTGTTTGAAGGTATCGGAAAAGAAGTAATAACGTTATATAACATGCAACTCATGCAACTTATTGATGTACTTGACTGGCGATCGTTTGATTGACTTCAACTACGATCAAGTTGTTATGAAATGAATATGAAGAGGCCAAATCAATCCTCTTGAGTGTTTAATTATAATCCTGAGAACTCAAGATATCAATGAATCTCGAGTAGAATATGTGAAGTTGTCATCATTCTTAGGTCAGTTCTTAATTTAATTGAACGTATTTAAATGAAAAGGAACTATCTTCAATGTGACATGAGCCCTAAATCCCATAAGAATACATGCAAAGTAAGGCCTGCGCCCTGGTAAAGATAGTTGCTTACATTTAGGTAAGTCCAATTTCCGATCTACTATCCTGATAAGAAGAGACAAAATCATGGAATAGAGCGGGAAATATGTGCAGGGTGCACATATTTGCCGTAGAGTATGAGCCTGATGTCATGGGTATTTACATCTTGTTCAGAGAAGTGTGTCTTAAAAGGCAGACCTTGAAACATGAAAACAAAACCAATCCACACTTTTGTCACAAATATTTTGAATTAGACGAAAGAATGATACTTTTACACTGGTAAACGTCATGAGGAGACCAGCGCTTATTGATCCAAACGGGGATGAGGACATAGGTGCTTTTATCTTAGTAAACTTTCAAAATTCTGACTTCATGAGATTGAATTCTAACTTGTTTACCCGTTTACATTGCCTGACTCCTGGCTTATCATGCCACATTACGGAGTTTTCAATGTAGGAACATCCACAAGCAAGGATATTGGTCTATTTCTCAGTTTGAAGGCGAACTTTAAATGTCTAGATATTGAAACTGACGCTGTAGCGTTGTCTCTACATGCATAGCCTCATACGGATCGCATTTTGCAAAAAGGAACTACAATTTCTGGCTCATCCGTAAAAACATTTACGTGCACAGAAAAAATAATGGTACGTTGTTTCAAAACTAGGTCACAATTTGCAGTTCATGCTCGCAAAATGTGGTCCAAATAGTAGAATTCACAATTTTACTATACGTATCGGGTCATATTATATTTCATCGGAAATTTTCTTATTCACAGGGCCTAGAGCACCACGAAAACTATACTTTTATTGATGTTTCATTCTCGTACAAATATTTTTCGGAAAAGGAACAAACCGATGAGAATGTTAATTTACAGCGGCAGTTGTCGAAATGGGACATTCCGGTCGTCTTCAAGCCATTTGCCGACATTGCAAGGAAGCAACTGGTCAGCGATCAGTACTTACAATTCGAACAGTAAGTATTCAACGGTTAGGATGATGTATCATGAACATTAAGGTTTTTGGATGAAAATTTATTCACCACTCCCCTTTGAGGGGACAATCAATTTTGGTCCAAATATTTTGATGAATACTCATGGCCGAGCATTCAATTAATATCTCACTGATAATTTTACTATCACTCTATCTCGTTTCAGTTTTTATCTTGGCTTGGATTCGCAAAATATGTTACGGATTGCTGTATTAAAGTAATTAGGAAGTGCTGTGAACAAAAAAAAAAAAAAATGAATAGACAGTATGTCGCATGTAGCCAACGTCCGTTACATTTCAGAAAACTGAAAATCTTAATACAGAGGAAAAAACTCATCTAAGCACAAGTTTCCCTCAAAGAGATACGCTGTTTGGTGCAACAATCACTGGAAAAAAAGTCGCTTGGATCTAGAGTCCGGACTCTTAAAACATGGACAAGAAAAAATACTCTTGATTCAATCGGATTTTTGCTTAAATCGAGAACCAAGTTTCTTAGTTTGAGCGGGTTTCCTTTTGATTCAAGCAAAAATAAGATTGAATCAAGAATATTTTTTCTCGTCATTGTTTTCAAGAGTCTGGAATCTAGATTCAAGCTACTTTTTTCTAGTGTAGTCACGAGTCACGACCATTTAGGAAGGCAACTGCAAACGCGTTTTGGGTCTAATTGGACCCATCATCAGTATAGCGCAGCTTCCTAAATTTTCTGCTATACCAAGCTTGAAGAGGCCGTGAAAACCAGCTCGAGACTTGGGCAAGCGTTCACTGGCGGCAAGTAAACGGTGACCGAAGTCATTAATAATTAATAATGTACGAAACTTCCGCAGTTTTTATGAAATACAATTTTTAAATGTTATAACTATAATTTTTGAGTAAAGCTTACAGCTGGAGCCCTACGAATAGGTACGGCATCGCTAGTCGCCGCGCGTAAAAACGGGAAGGTATGGCTTCGATCAACATGAATCGATCGATAAATGAAAACGTGATTCGATCGACTCGACCGGCAATCATGAATAAATCGATAAATCCGTGAATCGGTCGAATCGGTGTCGATCGAATCACGTCGATCGGCTCACATTTTATTTTTCGATCGATTCATGTCGATCGAATCCATTCCCTCCGTACACTAGTCTCAGAAGCGCTGGGCAAAAGATCCTCGAAAAGTGACTTCATCGGCGCTCCAGTACATTCCCAGATAAGACAGAAATATTTAGCCAACACTTAAACAATATTGTTCGAATATTTATGCAAAAATTGGGTCAATATTGGTTAAATATTGAACCGATGTTAAAAACGTACACCATAATCCCTTTTGGCATAAATACTGTGCCAATACTGTGAAAATATTTTTATAATATTTTGGGTAAACGTATTATTTTTAAAAATACTGAATAAAGATTCTTTAAATATTTTTTTTAAAATAATTTTCATTAAAATATTATCAAAATATTGTCAGTATTGTGTAGATATTGCGACAATACTGACAATATTTGCCCAATATTGTAAAAATATTATGTCTTATCTGGGTTGCGACTCCATTGTTCTTCCATGTATTTTCTTTCGTGCGATTCAACTTTCGTCATAACCTCTGATTCCAGGCGTGTGAGGCTCGAACAGATCAGCTTCGACCTGATCATCGTAGAGACGTTCTTCCTTCCGTTCGCCTGCGCCATGTCCCGACTCTTCCCCGGATCTCCACCGATCATCTCGATGTCGACCCTGGTCGTCGACTTCTACGCGGAGGAGGCCCTGGGGAGCCCGCCACACCTGTCCTTCGTGCCAGCCGTCTTCGACGGCTTCACCGATCGGATGACTCTGTGGCAGAAACTGGAAAACTGGTTCTCGCACCACTACCTCATGCACAAATTCAGAGACGGGGTCGAAGAATCCGTGAAGAAGTATCTTCGGGAGACTTACGGTGATGGCAATGAGACTCTCGCGGATGCCTGTTGGACCAATGTCAGTCTGGCGATGCTAGCGTCGAATTCCATGTACTTTTATCCCAGAGCCATGGGCCCGAATATTATCGAAGTTGGGCCGCTCCATCTCAAAACCCCTGCACCACTGCCCAAGGTAATGTATCAGCGGGCTGATTATTGAAACTGATAGACACAGCGGAAAAAGAAGACATAAGGAGTATGGAGCGATCCTACCGGTTGAAATGGTCGGTTCTTCTAGACTGAGGGAAAAATTACAGACTAACTATATCGGGTCTCTCATGAGTTGATGTTAGTTAGTATTATTTACTTCCTTTGTCAATTGCAACCGCCCACTTCTACCAATAGGAACCCTCCATATCCTCTTTGTCTTCTTTGTCTATCGCTTCATCTTTTAATCTGAACAATCAGCCCACAATTCGAATATATGTTAGGTACCATAATTTCTGGCTCATCTGTAAAAAAACACGAGCAAAGCACGTAGCACGTAGCAAAAATCACCTAACCTGAGGCGAAACTAATGGCACCCGTGTTTTTCGTAAATCGAGCCAGAAATTGTAGTCCTTAAGTGCAAAATGACGTCCAGTTGAAGGTACAGTACCTTTGTAGAGAGATTCTAAACATTAAAAATCAAGAAAATCCATAGGATCTGAATAAATGGCGATGATTTTGAATGGAAGGGAGTAGTTTCCTACTTTCAACGATCATCACCTGCTGTACTTGTCCCCGACATAAAGGGGCCTGCGAAAACTGGCGGAGTGCGCGATTTGTTTCACGCATAGACTCTACATTTTCTCCTGAGCGAGAGATTAAAAATTTTCGTTACCAATCCTGAATAAAAACGTTAATATTTTAATTAGAAGCTTATTTTAGTTGAGTTAATCGCGTGAATCGTAATTTCGTGAACTCTTGAGGAGGAGACGTATAATAGAATGCTTAAATTCGTACCTTGCCTAATGGTCCATTTAATTATCAAACAAAGTAAGCGAAAAAAAAAAAAGAAAAAAAACCATTAAACTGGATTGATTGGTGCGGAAAATTTTATTGGTTACCACGGGTTTATTTTCATTTTAATAATCCTGCATCCAACGAGTTCTATGCGATTATTTGCATATCCGCAACATATAGAGTAAAACAATTATGCTTCTTATTTTTCAGCATTTGCAAGATTGGTTGGATGGAGCAGAAAAAGGAGTAATTTATTTAAGTCTCGGTAGCAACATGAAAAGCAAATCCCTGCCTGTGGAGGTCCGGGCCAACTTTTTGAAATTTTTCAAGCAACTTCCGTCGGGTTACAGAGTCCTGTGGAAATGGGAGCTGGACGGAGCAATCCCAGGCCAATCTGATAACATTTTAGCACAAAAATGGCTTCCCCAGGATAGCGTCTTAGGTAATATCCTTAACACGTTTTGAGGGAGGGGTAACTGGACTGCATTTTGCAATTTGGACCTACAAATTCTGGCTCATCTGAAAAAACACTTATGTGCATGGGGAAACTAATGGCACATACGTCGTTTTTAAACTGGGCCGGAATCTTTAGTTCCATTGCAAAATGCAGTTCAATTTTGCATTATAATTTACTTCCATTCTCAGAGGTTAAGTTTTTTAATGAGAAAATTTTAAATTTTACTGTACGGAAATACCGATATTTAACTGGATAACTGAAAGAAAATGAAATGAGGATACAACATAAAGTGTAAAATTTCACGGTAAAATACAATTTTACCGTGAAATTAGGGACGACTTTCATCGCCATAAAGGTTCGCATTGATTATTTCGTTTTGTAGCCAAATTCAATGAACTTTCTGAGCTCAGTATCAAAACTCTGGTTCATCGATTTTGTCTACTGACCCATTTTGTTGCTATTATTTACTTATTATTAAATATTTGAAGGCTTCAATGGAATTCTATCTACGATTTTGATGACGTTTTGTCTGTTGTTAAGTATTAATATTGAAATTAAAATGCCTTATTTCCAGCCGTTTATAACGAAGAAAACATTTAAATACCAGTTTTATCAGTTGGACCAGATTATTGATCGGTCTGACTAAATGATTTACTCGACAGGCTTTCCATCAAACTTTTTGTCTTACATTATGTTCCAAAGTACACTTTTCACTTATACCTCAAAATATTTGTTTCTCATTACAGCTCACCCAAAAGTCAGAGTCTTTATAACACAAGGAGGGCTACAAAGTTTCCAAGAGACAGTCCACTACGGTGTTCCTACAGTTGGTATCCCTTGGTTCGGAGATCAGGAATGTAACGTTGCGAAAATGGTTGACGCTGAAATTGGAGTGCTACTTCCTCCCAAAGAGCTCACGTCCTATGAGAAAATCAAATCAGCTATAGAGGCAGTGCTTTATGATGAGAGGTAAGCAAGATAGATGAATGAAGTGGAAAGTAGAAGCAAAATTCAACGGATTAAGATGGTAGACAACGATCCATTGAAGAAAAACGGCACTTAATCTCTATACTAAAAGCTCTGAGACCTCCTAGATTTGCATATCAGGAATCTAATCTAAATTGGAAAGCAGAAGCAAAATTCAACGGATTAAGATGGTAGACAACGATCCATTGAAGAAAAACGGCACTTAATCTCTATACTAAAAGCTCTGAGACCTCCTAGATTTGCATATCAGGTATCGATAGGTGATAGTTCCTAGATGAGCCCGTTATAATCGGTTTTTGAAAATAGGACCCAGGTATTTCTATATAAGAGTAGACCAGAGAGCTCAGGAAAAGGGGCAAAATTTGAAATTCCCACTAATAAAAAATGGCGGGAATTTCAAATTTAGCCGCCAATTGAACTAAGCGGAAAATTTTGAATCTCGGTCTGTTATAGTGCGATAAGTGAATTGAAGGTATGCTCCTTTTCTACAGACTATCAAAAAGCGACGAAACGCTCCGTTCCGTTTCGTTTCAGTCTTGGCGTGAAGTTTGAAATAAATGCTGATTTGCTCATACGATTCTTATTGCTCCAATTGTTCCTGGCATAGAGAGATTGGACAAATGAGGGTCGGGCGTGAAAATCTTTTCGTTTTTTTTTGGGTCATTCTTTTGTCGAAGCAGGCTTAAGAGAGCGCGAAGGGGGCATATCCCCCTAGTTCTGTTTAAATTTCAAGCGATACAAAGTTGGCTTATTTCTCCCCGGAAATTTTGGGAGGCTCTTTTCTCTCCGGATCAATAATTACTTATTGTTAGTGCAACGTAGAGAATTATTTTCTCTCCGGAGAAATTAGTTAGTGTTCCGAAGAAAAATATTTGCTCTTCGGAGCGATAAATTATTGCTACAGAGATAATTATTTTCGCTCCGGAGAAGTTAGTGTTCTGGAGAAAAATATTCTCTCTTCGGAACGTTCAGTTATTGCTCAGAAGAGAAAATATTTTTCTCCGGAATACTGACTAATTTCTCTGGAGAGGAAATAATTCTGCTCCCTCGCACTGTTTAGTGAGATCAGTTTAGTTTGATCTTGTTTTCTTATTTCGTAACTGATTTGCATTTTGTCTTTAACTGAGCGAAGAATATTTCGAAACATTAGAATAAGCGAATTTTTGCGATCGAATGTCATTCATCAAACGAATTGATCAGTGCTGAGCGATGCCGATGATCGGTGATGTCAGGAGCCAATCAGAGCTCAGATTTTTTCCTAAGTGAAATTCAGAAGAAAATAAGAAAACACGAAACACTAAAACACAGAAATTGCGAAAACACCAGACTTGAATTGACAAAACACAACAACAGAAAGAGATGACAGAACAAAAATTTTGGTGAGAGATGAAGTTTCTGACATCGATTGCATCAATTCAAAAATCGAATTCAAGTCCCGAGGTGAATTCGAAATTTCAAATTGATGGATTTCAACGGTCTCTGGTGAGACCAACAAAGAAGTCGAATATCGTTGAAAAAAAATGCACAATCGTCGAATATCATTCAACGGTGAATGATATTCGATCGCGAAAATTCGCTTAATAAATCAATTTAAAATTCCATTAAATTAATTCGTCTCCAGGTATTACAAAAACATGAAGAGGCATTCAGCAATATCTCGTGACTTCACCGCGCAGGGTATGGAGAAGGCTGTGTTTTGGGTGGAACACGTCGCGAAGTACGGTGGAGCATCACATCTTAGGCCCTCGACCGCCGACGCATCATTTTTCCAATATTTTTGCTTGGATATTCTCTCTGTGATATTAGGTTTAAGTTCTCTTCTTTTATTTGTTGTATACTCTGTTTGTAAATTATTCATATCAATCATATTCCAAACTCCCCAAAAGAAAAAGAAAACTTCTTAGTCAAATAAAATGAATCTGCTTTCAGGGCAACCTTGAATATTTTTGAATTCCTATATCGACGGTGAAAGTCGGCAATTACATAACTCGGTTTGCGACGTCGCAGACTTCCTGTCATACTTTATTTTTCAAATAGAAAACTACTTAACGGCAATTCTTTAAAACTGTCATGATTTTTCTTCTCAATGCGAAGAAAATTCTGCAAAAACTTCAAGAAATAATATCAATTTGTTCTCCTTTAAAAAAAATGACGTAGAGGCGGAGATTTTCAGACACCGCAAACGAGTTATGTTATTGCCGACTTTCACCGTCGATATTTTATCCTAACCTTTGTTTTGTTATTTTTGTAAATACCATTTTAAACGGCTTACCAGAGTTTCTAGTCTTCATTTGAAACCTCGAGGGTGAGTGTTTGTGGTTGGTAATCACAGTTGGCTTCGATTTCTAACTAAGAAAATTATTGACCTTTTACTTAAAAACTCGTTCATTTTACAATCCTTTGCAGTTTTAATTTAAAGAGCGTGTTAAAATATTTAATTCTCGGGGAAATTCAACCTTTTGTTGTAGAGCAATAATTTATTTTTTTACGGAACGAATGAGCTCTGGAAAGATTCTATGACAATTTTTATTCTTAGTGACCGTCGCATGTTCGTTGAAGTCGCGCACATAAAGCGCCTTCAAATTCGCGTGCTGCAAATATTTACCTTCGAGTATTTTTTTTACATTGCAACAAGGTACTCGGTGCAGGCGAGGAGGGAACAAGACTCTAAATATTTCAGAGAAGTTTCTATCATTTGAAAAAAATTATACTTTTGTTTTTAAAATTATTTACGAGATTTTTTTTTCCTACAAGGATATCAACGTGCTCAAATTTAATAACGCAGGATAAATATTTACAACTTTAATGAATATCCGAAGAGCCTTTTCAATTAAGATTCTGCAGTAGGGACTATTGTTGTAGGCCGGCCGTTGATGAAAACACATGTACATTATTTTTGCCTGTCTATTTAAAATTGTTCCCATTCAATTATGCAAGTTTTATGAGGGCACAAGATTGTGACCTATATGCATGAGAGTCGATGTTACAAAACAAAGCACTAAATACAATTTAATGACAAAGCTTGGGTGAAAAACACACCAACTATACCGGTAAGCGCAAAAGAAACAAATCTCTTCAGTAATACTACCGTGTTAAGGAAGACGCCGTATAAACATTCGAGAGTTGCCAAATTTCCTTCGATAAAATGTTTCTTTTATAGGAAGGTTATGAATATTTTCCCTTGTAATTTTCAGGAGCTTCAGGTGAAATTGCGAACAAATTTATCTGGAAAATTGGAAGAAAAATACATATGCATAAGTTTACCAGGAGATTCTTGTCTTATCAGAGGAAATTTGGCAACGCCTGAAGGTTCATACGGCGTTTTTCCTTGGTAAGGTAGAGTTGTCGTTCGTGATGAACAGTTTTTTATGCTGTATGAAGGGAACCAGGACTCCTTCAAAACTGTGGTGATTGCAAGTAACATTTTCAATGGACTATGGACCACCAGACAAGGTACGAATTTCAGCATTCTGATACATGTTTCCTAATCAAACTTCCACGTAAACCACGATGCGCACAACACAAATTACCGAAATCAACTCCTTACAAAGATATTTAATGATTCCTGATGTGTGAATTCAAACCACCGGCTCATTGAAACTCAATGCTCTACGTGATTCACGTGGCGCGCTAAACATTATCATGATAGTCTCTGCGATATAAAAATCTGGCAACCTCAGTTTTGACGCTTTGGCTCAGCTATAGCAAATTGCTTATAGTTTGAACGACACGATGGGAAATGAACATTGCTCGATTGAGAAGCTTGCTGAAACCGTTGTAGTGCACGATTTGACTCACGTAGAGCTTTGAGTTTCTTGTGAGCGGGCAGTTGAAATTCCTCGTAACAAATGTAAAATAAAAACGTTAATCTTCATTAGGAGTTAGTTTCAGTAATATTCGTTGTGCCAATCGTGTTTTACGTGAAATTCTGGTTAAGAAACTTGTATCAGATTGCTCAAATTCGTATCTTTTCTGGTGGTCCACTTTGATGATAATAATTCTTACCGTGTTTACAAAAGCAGTTGCGCACAATAGTGGACGATTGCACATGTGAACGTAATTTCGACGACTGCGGATAGCTTTACGCGGGCGGTAACTATTTTGCACTTAAATTTTCAAGTCCCTCCTGGGATAATATTCCTTGTAAACGCCTTTCTTTCAAGTGGGCGGAATTGAGTCAGGAGCAGACTCGTGACTACAATTTCAGGTTTCTAAAAAAGGAACATTACGGTGTAATTTTCAAGTGCGCCCGTATGTTGAGAATATATCATTTGCCTCTTGATTTGCAACAAATTAATAAACTTACTTTAGCACCTTAGAAAACTAGATAGTACATCGAAAGTAACATCTTCTCAGTGCTCCATAGCTCCCAACGATCGAAACCGAACCCCGGGAAAATTATTAGTTTTTTTTACCCTTTAGCTTCCTAGGAACCGCGAGAAAAATGTTAAATACCAAAATTAACGCTCATATTAAATAATAATTTTGTTCAAGTCGTAAGTTAACGGTTTTTTAAGAGAAAATATTGAATTTCCCGTCGAAACCTCCAGTCGGACAAAACTCTAAAAACGGATTACATCGTTTCGTCGAAGTGTTCTGGCAATACAAGTCAGGATAGTGAGAGAGAAAATGATTTTCGCAAAATGCTATCTTTTAATTTTAGGTCTAGTTTGCGGCTCACATGCATATAAAATTTTGGTGTATTACCCCACACCTTCTTATAGCCATCAGCGTGCGATTCTGGCTCTAACCGAGCGGCTGGTCAAAGATGGCCATGAGCTTTTCGTAATCAGTCCGAATGCTGTACCGGTAAGTAATTTTTCATTAATTAATATCCTTCAAATGTATTAGGTATTTTTTCCATGACGATTCAGCGAGTATATGGGCTTTTCATCGAGATGTTGAATATTGGAGGGGCCAATTTTCATGGCGACTGTGTAACTTTGATGAACTGTAAATAATTGTAAAAAACTTTTTTATTCACCCCATTTTAAATTATTCTGCTTTTCAGGGACTTTCACATCATGAAAATTACACCTTCGTGGATTTATCATATTCGTATAAGTATTTCTCGGAGGGAGATACAGACGACACTGTCAATTTACAGAGACCGTGGTCTAAGTGGGAGCTGCCGAAAGTTTTCGAACCCAGCTATGAACTCACCAAAAATCAGCTTCGAACCGACAACTTTTTGAGATTCAAACAGTGAGTAGTGGAATCCATATTACCAAGCATTTGAAACTTAACACAGTAAATGTAGCGCTGAATTACAAAATTGAACTTTTACTTATTCGCCGATTTTCTTACTTTAGCTAAATAGTTTTCTTTTGTTTTCTTTAATTTTGACTCTAATTTTAATTTTTGGTATTTTCTTGGCTTGTTTCCCGGCGAAATGGTGTGGATCCAGCACCATTTCTCCACCTTGTTCTTTAGAATAACATTCTTCGGTTTCAGGTTTGTGAAGTCAAAGCGCATCAAATTTGACTTGGTTATCGGGGAGTCCTTTTATACCCCCTACACATGCGGGCTAACACGAATCCTCACCGGTGCCGCACCGATCATCACAATGATAACACTGACCGCGGATTATTCCTCGGAGGATAATTTGGGGAGCATAACCCACCTGTCCTACGTGCCGTCCCATTTCGACCACTACGGATACACGTCCAGAATGACCTTATGGCAGAAAATAGAAAACTGGTTTTCTGATTACTACCTCGTTTCCGGATTCAAGGAGAGGATGGAATCAGCGGCCAGGAGCTACTTTAGCGAGACCGAAGGTTCTGAAAGTGAAAAACTGCTGGATGGGTGCTGGAAAAACATAAGTCTCGCTCTAGTTACCTCTAACCCTTTGTACTTTTACCCGAGGGCTCTGGGTCCAAATGTCATCGAGGTTGGGCCACTGCACATTAAAACCCCTCAAAAACTTCCAAAGGTATTACATTTGGCTGATACAGTTATTTTTAATTTGCCTTCAGCTGCATTCGCAGCAGTTGTTGGTACGAATACATTGAGTGAGCTGATTCTAGCTCAGTACATACTTAACTCTTAAAACGCGTATTATATGCGAAAGCAATGCGCCTTCAACTGCGTCCGCAGCAATTGTTGTTACGAATGTGAGTGCTAATCTCAGCTCATAACACTCTTGACTTTCTGAACGCATCGTGTGTGCAAAAGTAGAGCACCCTGTTGGAGAACAACAGAATTGATATTGAATGAATCGCTCAACCCCAACTTCGTTCATTCTTCAACAGATTGCCAACAATTCTGCCAACAGATTGACTCGTGCAAATAAATCGCCTTCTGGGAGTCGAGTATGTAATGATCCAAAATCAGCACGCACAAAATATTCAAGATCTCTTTTCTCAAGAATCAATTCATTTTTGGTATTTTTGAACGATCTCAATTTTTATAAAAACTGGCGGACTTTTTAAAACATTTTGAAATAACATTATGGCAATCAATTAATTTTAATTTATTAAAGAAAAGAAGGGAACTAGAGGATTTTTCGTTTTTTAAAGGTTAATTTAAGAAACGGTTATTCCCTAGAACCAGTCCTCTAAGGTTAAAAATGGTGGGTTGAAAAGTTAATTTTTACCGATTTTTGTACCAAAAACTCCCATATTCCACATGCTGGTAACTGATGGTAAAATATTGAATTATTATTCTAATTTATTTTTCTCTTCCCAAACTCTGATATTTCGATTCAAAATGTTTCTCCATCCTTGGCTCCCGTTTCGTGGACGATCACAAACATGTAATCTATAATAATGATGCAGATAAATGTTTGATGTTAGCATAAAATAGTACATCTTCTTTCTAGAATTTACAAACTTGGCTGGATGGAGCAGAGAAAGGAGCAATCTATTTCAGTCTTGGAAGCAACATGAAGAGTAAATCTTTAGCCGGAGATGTACGAGCAAATTTTTTGAAATTTTTCAAAGAACTGCCGCCAGGATATCGTGTGCTTTGGAAGTGGGAACTAGATGGAGAAATTCCAGGCCAATCGGAGAATATTCTTGCCCAAAAGTGGTTTCCACAAGACAGTGTGTTAGGTAATATTCTAAAATGAGATTTATGCAAATGAGGACTGAAATGTAACAACAGCGGTCGCTGACATCCGCCATTTTTAGGAAAAACGATTTTTTCGAATTCTGGAGCCCTCAAGAATGCCTGTGCAAAGTTTCAGACTTCCAGTGCAATTTTTCGGCGAGATATAAACTGAGAAGCATGTTATTTGTAAAAACAGCGGATATGAGAATCCACTGTTCTCCCCGGCCGGCGCGGCAGGACACCGTGGAGATTCAAACGCTCTTGCGATAACTGCCCGCGCCGGCCATTTTTCGTCCATTAAAAAATTTTCTCAGTAAAAATAGCGGACGTCACATTTTTTTTTCAAATCGCTGTAACTCCTTCAATTGTTTACTTACATTAATCGCAAAACGCGTGTTTTTTACAGGAAGAGTTGGTCTTCATGAAAATCTTTATAAGAGTCCTCTCAGTTCTACGGGCGGAAAAGTGCAAAGCTTCAAACATTTTAAACGCGATTTTCTGACAATGTGAAAACTCGACAACTGCTATTGTTACATATAAGTCCTCAAATATACATTCTTTGCATTTTCGAACCGTTGCTCGAAACAAACCAAGCTTTCCCTCTGGGTCACTGTAGTGACACTCATTTTCGTTATCTTTTATCTTACAAAAAATTCTTCACGAAAATACATTAATAAAGGAGCAAATGAATACAATGCAGACATCACATAAGTCAAATTCTCTCTTACAATCTTAGTTGTTTTTGAAGGTTCACCGGAGCGTTTAGGTATGAATCTTTCAGGGAAAACATGTATATTAAGAAAATTACCTTTCGACGGTGAAACTACCAAACCACGTATCTCGGTTTGCAACGTCGCAGACTTCCTGTCATACTTCATTTTTTAAATGAAAAACTACTTAACGTCCAGTCTTGAAAATTTCTGTGATTTTTCCTCTTTGTGCGGAGAAAATTCTGTGAAAATTTCAAGGAATGATATTGATTTGGTCTACTTCAAAAAAATAAAATGCGAGCGTAGATTTTTAAACACCGCAAACGAGATACGCGGTTTGGTAGTTTCACCGTCGCTTTGCTTTTGAAAATAAATTGTGACTATAGCGAACAATTAGGGGCCCAGCTTATTTTAACGTAGAATTTTGAAAACGACCACCTTTGATGCGGTGAATCTTTTCAACGCGTGCAACATTTTCACTTTGCACATTTAAAGGAGATTTGAAGTGTCTCTCCATAAGTGTTCGATTCACAGAAATTATAATTTTAACACTGGTCTTTCCTTCTCTTCCTCAGCTCATCCGAATGTTAAAGTCTTCATTATGCAAGGTGGAGTTCAAAGTTTCCAAGAAGCAGTTCACTTTGGTGTTCCAATAATCGGAATCCCTTGGTATGGTGATCAGTACATCAACACCGCAAAAATGGTGGACGCCGAAATCGGTGTCCGGTTGCTGCCGAAAGAACTTCACTCATACGATAAAATCAAATCAGCCCTTGAGGCTGTGCTGTATGATGAAAAGTAAGCAATCATTGGACCGAAATGATTATTTTTAGATTAATTCATCGAAAAAAGGAAAACAAAAATTAAATCAGCATAAAATGGTCACGATGAAAAAAAGTTTGGTCATTTTGCAATTAGGAGCTATGAATTCTAGCTCATTTTAGAAACAACGTATGTGCCAAAGGTTTCCATATGCAGACACGTGCTTTTACAAATGTGACGGATACTGCAGTTCCTAATTGCAAAATGAAGTCCAATAGTAAGTGTGGTGTTCTATATCGTCTGCACTATGGAATTCATATTGAATGATTACATGAATGGTTATATGAACTGCATGTATCCTTAATTCATGCAACCAAGATTTTTCTGTAGTTAGGTTCAGTTTGAAAGCTAGGGTACGGTTTCTACGATGTGAAAAATAAACATTTTTAGTTAGACTCTGTATAAGGGGATTTGTGGACAAAGCGCATATAGTCCAGTCAATCTGGCATTTTATTTTGCGAAAATCTGAGGAGAAAAAAGTAAGACGGATTCCTATGTAATTTGGGTCGCTGAATCCGAATCTGATGTTTGCCAACAAAAATTTTGACCGGAAATGGCCGCCATCTTGAAAAAATGGCGGAAAATCACGTTTTTTCCCCAAAATCCCCCAAAATCTCACTTATTTTGGGGTTTTCGACAATATAAGTTATCTTCACTTTAAAAGTACGTAAAATTTCCTATCAAACGGCTCTTAGATTTTTGAAATCGGACAATTAGGGTAAAAGTTATGGGCGATCGCGTTAGGGGTGGTTTTAGGGGTTGATGAATTTTTCACCAAAATTGCTGCGTAAAAACGCTGTAATGTCGTTGGAAGTGAAACACAAATTCCGAAAATGGTTTGCATATGTCCCCCTGGGTACCAGTGACTCTCCGCCATGAAAAAATCCTCATTCAATCCCCTCATTCAATGTGCACTTTTTTCAATTAAATCACACTAATTACAGATGCAGAAAATGTATGCAAAACCCTCATGGATCACTTGGTTTTCCAACTCCCATCACCCCCCTTAATCCCGTTATGACCCCCCTCACCTACCCCTCCCCCCTCAACCCCCTCCCCGCCCCTCCATCCCTCCACCCCAAACCCTTATTAGCCATATAAGAGCCACCGAACCGATTCTGAAAGCAAGATTTTTTTTTTTTTATTTTTTTTTTTACAGGTGGCGAAAATATTTTAAAGACTTCATCGTGGGCAGCTAGGAACTCAAGATGGATGTGTGGGATTTCCACCCACTAAAAACCCCTCCGCTTCTGGTGAACGAAATGAAAAAAAAGCACTGAATGAATGTTGTCTTGAATTGCTGTTTCTCTGTAACATTTTCCATACATCCGCTCCAACCCGGTAAATTCGGTATTATACTGACTGCTGAAATTACAGAGTGAGAAATCGCGTTGCCTTTTTTTTGGAACTTCGGTTTGCTCTTAACTTTTTTGTTATTTAGAATGATAGTATTGAGTAGGAGCTTCAGAGAATCTGGAATGTCTGATTCTGCGTTCTTAAAAAAATCATGAAATGCAGGATAGTTGTCTGTGTCGTAACCCTTCGTTCTGATATCCTCGAGAATCATTTTTGCAGCAGTTTCCACGATACGTAGCCTTTCAGCGTTTTTATTGCTTAAAACCTGATTTTACCAAGCTTCATTGAGAATCTTATCACCAAAAACGGGAAAAGATATCTCTCATTGGTTTGATTTGGTTATTTTTTTAAGAACGGAGAATCAGACATTCCTGAGTCTCTGAAGCTCCTACTTGATACTATTATTCTAAATAACAAAAAAGTTAAGAGTAAACCGAAGTTCCAAAAAAAAGTCAACGCGATTTCTCACTCTGCAATTTCAGCAGTCAGACCTCGGTCCTATAATTCGCCCATCCAAATCGGAGTTTCATTGTATGTGTGCTAAAAATTCAGATCGAAAAAATTGATTGGTGTATTGAATCTCTCGCCTACGTTGCACCGTACCATGAAATTTTGAAATTTGAAACCGCTGCTATTCTGCATGGATCCTGTAAAAATCAACTTCGACACTTTCTTTCAGTTCATATTCAATAACGTGGATTTGAATTGTCAAGACGCTTGATGGAATGAACACCTTCCATGCTATGGGCGGCGTAATGTGTATCAATCACACCACAATCATCAGTTTACCCTGATTAAGTAATACCTCGTAATTTATCTCAAAATCCGCCGGTAAAATAGCTCGGGCCTTTGCAGTAACACCCGTTGAAATTTTTGAAAAGAAACGCCACGATGGAATGAAAGACATCAAAATTCTTGATTTGCAGACTGTTAATAAATTGCCTGGTCGTTATGAGATCTTAACGCTGGATTTTTTGTGGATTTATGGACACTTGACTAAAATACCGAATTTACCGAGTCGGAGCGGATTTATGGAAAATGTCATAGAGAAAAAGCTATCCCTGGTAAAAATTATCAATAGGAGCTGCGTTATTCAAAATACCTTAGGAATTCTTATAGCTGGATATAGAAGACGATAGAAAATTATTTAACTGGCTGTAGAGAGCGAAGAATTTCACACAGCCGGGCTACACGAAGCGATAAAAAAATATAAAGCCGGGCTATGGTTCCCATCGCCAGGCTATACAGTATATAGCCTTGCTGTAGCTTTTTTGCCACGGTCTATAAAAGGCTATAAGAAATTGCATAGTCAGCTACAGAAGCTATAGGAAAACCGACAGCCGTCTGTAGGTCTATAGTATTTTGGAACACAGATCCTACTGCCAATTTTTACCAGGGATTCAAGACAACATTCATTCAGTGCTCTTTTTTTTAAATTCGCTCACCCAAAGCGGGGTTTTTAGTGGGTGGAAATCCCACATATCCATCTTGAGTTCCTAGCTGCCCACGATGAAGTCTTTAAAATATTTTCGCCACCTGTAAAAAAAAAAATAAAAAAAAAAAAATCTTGCTTTCAGAATCGGTTCGGTGGCTCTTATATGGCTAATAAGGGTTTGGGGTGGAGGGATGGAGGGGCGGGGAGGGGGTTGAGGGGGGAGGGGTAGGTGAGGGGGGTCATAACGGGATTAAGGGGGGTGATGGGAGTTGGAAAACCAAGTGATCCATGAGGGTTTTGCATACATTTTCTGCATCTGTAATTAGTGTGATTTAATTGAAAAAAGTGCACATTGAATGAGGGGATTGAATGAGGATTTTTTCATGGCGGAGAGTCACTGGTACCCAGGGGGACATATGCAAACCATTTTCGGAATTTGTGTTTCACTTCCAACGACATTACAGCGTTTTTACGCAGCAATTTTGGTGAAAAATTCATCAACCCCTAAAACCACCCCTAACGCGATCGCCCATAACTTTTACCCTAATTGTCCGATTTCAAAAATCTAAGAGCCGTTTGATAGGAAATTTTACGTACTTTTAAAGTGAAGATAACTTATATTGTCGAAAACCCCAAAATAAGTGAGATTTTGGGGGATTTTGGGGAAAAAACGTGATTTTCCGCCATTTTTTCAAGATGGCGGCCATTTCCGGTCAAAATTTTTGTTGGCAAACATCAGATTCGGATTCAGCGACCCAAATTACATAGGAATCCGTCATACTTTTTTCTCCTAAGATTTTCGCAAAGTAGACCCCTTTTTTGGGCCAGATTGACTGGACTAATAAATGCAGTAATTGAAAACATCTAGATATTAATGATTTCAAGTAAAACTAGTCTTAAGGCATTTAAGGCGTATTCTGTGAGAAGGTCGCTCCCATTTGCCAATTTTTAAGCATCAAAAAGTCAGTCTGAACTTTACTTCTGCCATAAGGATCCACGTGATCTTGAAACTTCAAACACATCTTTCTCGAAATTGCAGAAACTGCACTTATGCGCCTTGTATCACTACAAGCCCCGTATACGTCTGACAAAATCTGGACGAAAAAGCAGTAATTTTTCGTTAAAATTTTCACCAATAGGGCAGGATTTGGTCTGAAATTCCAAGGAAATTTTATCATAATAAGTGTCTTATTTCGTTCTAGTATTTTTGTCTACAGTGCATGTCCGAGAGTACGCAGTCACTAATTGGCTCGCCCCATATAGAGAACCATGCTTACAGTTCGTATGACCAAACAGTCTCTCTTATTGTAGGAAAGTGAACAAGAAATACGGGTATAGGTACTTCGGAGACGTGATGCTAGAAGATGTAAGGGGTGTTTTGGGCATGTTTTATTGGATTCTTCCCTGTGCGAAGAAAGACATAAAGACAAAGGGTTGATTCCAACGCACGGACGTTGGAGAGCCTTCACCATAGGAACCTTTTAATTTTTACTAGAATTTACTTGAATTATTATTTAACATATATAATAACATCATTACCTTTTGACGCAAGAACGGAATGAATCACTAAAAAATACACAAAGAATCTATAATAATTAATAGTATCAGCTGTTTTGGTACGGCATTCTATTATACAGTAATGTATTGGGTTCATTTTGAATAGTTAATGGGTATGAAGGTACCCAAATAGCTTTGAGCAAGATTTTTTGCCACTACGCATAGTGTTGTGAACGCTCAAAATAGAGAGATATTAAAAATTAGCCTCCTTAACAAAATCTGAGTTGTTTGGTCATTCGTTACTTCTTTAAGTGTACTCTCTGCCCACGATATACATTTACTGTTTTTTCAAAAAAACAAATTTTACTTTCTCTCTGGCAGGTATTTAAGAAATATGAAGAGGCATTCAAGGATATCCCACGATTTTACATCTCGAGGCATGGACCAAGCCGTCTTCTGGGTGAATCACGTGGCGAAACATGGTGGAGCATCTCATTTGCGGCCGGCAACTGCTGATACCACTCTGTTCCAGTATTTCTGCTTGGATATTTTATCTGTGATAATAGTTTTAAGTTTCTCAGTTCTACTTTCTTTGTATTATTTGTGTAAAGCAGCATTTTCATTCGCCCTCCGTAAACTGGAATCGAAACTGAAATCTTCAGAGAGGAGAGCAGGTTCATTTTCGCACAAAAATAAATAAAGTAAATTCTGAAGTAAACGTATGCAAATGTCCATTGATTGCCTATTTAATATCAGTTTCCATCGATTTTAGAGATTAAAAAAGAACATAATATCCGAGAGAAATGGAATATCAACGTACTTAGAGGATTTAATCATATCCTTTACGACGCTGATTTCATTTCAATTTTTTGTAGCATTAGTATATAATGATTTTACCATCGCTCTGCCAAATTAATGTATTTAAAAATTGAAATAAACATTGCACGGACTTTTTGCTACAGCATTCCTACAGTCTTGTAGGTCCTAATATGCGTTTCACACCAACTGATCGACTGCACTGCGTTTGATGCAATGCGAGAAGTATCCATGCAGTTTTGTAGGCGCTAATATGGGCTGTGCGCCGACCGCACTGTTTGGCGCAATGCGTGAAGTATTCCTAAAATCTTTCAGGCGCTATTATACGTAAGACGCCGATCATTGTTCATGTTTTCAATATAGAAATAAAATAAAATTCAATACTTGTTAAATAAAAACCTCATGAGATATATAGCTTCTAACTATATTGGGGTAACCCAGTTGAATAAAGTTTTAGACTAAATGAAATAAAATTTAGTTTACATTAAATAAGCGCAGTTAGATTTATAGAAAAAGTGATAGACAAAGAAGACATGGGTAGTATGAAGCGATTCTATTGGTTGAAATGGTTGATTCCCAGACTTCGGGAGAAAATGATGGACTAACTAAATGGTTTCCAGTTGCCGTGAGTTGCCGTTAGTTCTTCCGTGCTAAAAAAGAACGCCGTGTGAACATTCGAGTGTTGCCAAATTTCCATCAATAAAACATGTATTTTTGACTCAATTTAAGCATATATTCCCTAGAAATTTTTAGATAGTTTAGATTAAATTGCGTGCCAAATTGTCTAAAAATTTTGAGGGAAAAATATTTACAGTTTTCCCAGTAAATTTGGGTTTTCCCGAGGGGAACTCTGCAACGTCTGCAGGCTCATACTCTCAGGCGCTCTTCTTTAGCACGGCAGAGTTAGTCTATTACCTACCTGCTTTGTCCATCGCAACCACCCGCCTCAACCAATAGGATCCCTCCATCCCTTTTGTCCTCCTGCGGCCCGATTATTGAAACTATGTCAGCCCGACACGACAAGACATAGCCCTATCTCAACTATGCAATATATCGCAATTCGATGTCTTATCGGGCTGGTTTAAATTTCAATAATCGGCCCGCAGGTCTATAGATTTGTCGAACAATTTCCAAAATCAGCCCTCAGGACAAATCAGCTGGTTTTCTTACCCCGCCTTATGTTCCTCTACTAAGCTCCTTTTCTCACTTTCTATATCCATGTCGAGAATATTTCCGCGGACTCTGTGTGGTTCTTTTTCTAGGAGAGTTATTCCCACTCCGTCTCTTTTCCTCCTCTCGTCCCACGTTCCTCCTCCCTCTCCCTCGATTGCCCCTGGGGTGGGGACTGGATCCCCCGCTGCTCGATGAATCCCAGTCACTGAAGGAGCCGTCTGAATAGGGGGACTGATTTTCGTAAACTCCAGAAAATTGGTTCCGAATGTCATTTGGGAACTGATTGCCATAAGCTCTCGGCAGGTCCCATACATTCTCCACGTTCCTTCCATACCCATCCGGAGAGCCCCAACTAGGTTGTAAAGCCGCGAGCGTCCTGTCTGCTGATTTCATGATGGCCTGCCCAGCATTCGCATAGTCTTCTTGTTGTCCATTTATCCTTCAGAAATTAAATTCATTAAAAATTATGCTCCCAAGAGAGATATATACATTTTACATGCAGCACATGTAAAGTTCACGCATTGGGTACTTGTTCTTGTCTGTCTGTTTGGTTCAAAAATTGGATTTCCATATTTCGATCGAAAACGCATCCTCAATTCGAAAGAATAAGTTAGAAGCGAATCAGTCTATTTTTGTGTCAATCGAGGGCTTTTTACATTTAATCTGGCTTCTTCATATCCTGATTATGACAAAATAGGATTTTCACAGCTTTACCTTGAAATCATGTTTGCTAAGCCTCTAAATTTGTATCACCGCAGCTCCGGTTTATTTTTTAAAAAATCACTTTCTAGCTATTTACGAGCAGAAATGTTTAGTACGATACTCCAAGTTCTCGTCTTAAGAACTCAATTTTAAGTTTTTGTGGGCTGTAGTTCCTTACAGCTGGAGGGTCAAATTCGTAGCCCGCCTTTACGGCCAATCCGAAGCCTCGGTCACATACTCTAATCAGATCTTCGAATCAGTTCTTCGAGTGCAAGATGTTCTGTGCTCAGTGCGCCTCTTCATTATAAATAGGCATAAAAGGCGATGGCATTAGAAAGGCAAAATGCATTTTCCGCCCATCTTGCATTGGAAATACCTGCATAAAAATGTTGATTAACAGCCCTAAGTGTTGAAAAAGTGTGCAGCTTGTCTTGTACGGTCATTGTGCATCCCTAGGCGCTAAAATAACTGCCTAAGGAGGAAGTTACTTTAGCATTTACGTGATGTCTGATTTACAGCACGATGCATGCCGTTCAATTTTACAACAAAAAGAATGTTGCATCAACATTTCCTCTTTGTTGATTTGACCTACGTAGTTATGTTGTAAATCATATGGATCGCATTTCGCAAAAAAGGAACCAGCGCAATTACAGTGTTTTCAAAATCGTGCAACTTTTTCTTCTCTTTTAAAAATACTTAATGAATGTACAGTATTAAAATCTACACAATTATTTTTCTTCGAAACTAACAATTTTTTGGTTCAAACCGAAAACTATTTGCTATTCTGGGAGACTTGTTAGATCATTAGGAGGAACCAACATTTTTACAACACTGCAATTGCGCTGGTCCCTTTTTGCTAAATGTGATCCATATGTATGAATTCTTGCTTGTGTGTTACCTTCTCCTCTTATTCTTGAAGAATTTTTTCTCATTCTCATCCATTTCCCAGCCAATAGGGAGGTTGGTGTACCAGTAGCTTCCGTCCTCCCGTGTCTGGTAAGTAGGCTCATATAACTGACTCACATCCCCAGAAACCAAATGCCTGTTCACGTAAGCCTTATTCTCTTGGACCACGACATCTACAGGACCACGACTGACCACGCTCGCAATCACAGTTCCATCGTCGTAATCGACAGTGTGCCAAGATGACGAGCGACCCGGAGATTTTTTTTGAGTGGTTGCACGACTCAGAGTTTTCCTCACCCCGTTTTCGTCCGTTGAATACGAGCTACTCGTCATCGTACTTGAGCTCCAGCTCTGCGAGTTTTTGGATAGCCCGCGTTTTTGAAGGGCTATTTGGTCGTCTTGCTCCTCACTGTCTGTGGCGATCATCTGAATATTAGTTCCTGGCCTGTCAATCGTAACCGTAGCGATGGTGTCTGAGGCTGCTTGGTGGCCGGAACCGATGACTGAGGCTAGACTCGCCTGAGCAGAATGGGAAAGAATAACGTTTTTTCTCAAAGAAATGGATTGAGTGATCATGAAGTACTGAGTCTCACAATCAGTTGAGCTCAACTCTTTCGGGTTTCCTCAGAGACAGTTGTCAACTTGTTACATTCATTTGTTCACTAGGAATTAATTTCAAGTGTAAGGAGAACAAATTAATGTTGGCCTCAATTGTTTCCTGCCATATTCTCGCACTTAAATTTTTTTCCATGTATGTATGGCATTTTATTACAGCGGATCAAGTTAACCACAGAAATAATATATCACATGTACGTGAAAAAAAAGTTGTATGCACTAGAATACAATTAATGAGCCCTGTCTTATTTTGTTCTGGGAAAAATTGCCAATGTGGTTTACTTATTATCCTTCCAATGGAAGTTGCCGTCTTGGGGAAATTTTTCCTGGCGTTGCAAAAGCCAGACACCGATTAAGATTGGAGATGATCAAAATTGGACGAATTTCTATCAAACGGAACTAAGCGCCATAGGGGGAGGAAGCGAGAGGGGGGCTTGGATTGGCGGGTGTTGCGGAACGCGATGCTCGTTCCGTCCTATACTCGCAATGCTTTTCCATGGCGCTTAGTTCCGTTTGACAGAACGCGCTATCCAGGATTCTAAAATCCTCAAATGGAACTCAATTTGACGCTTAGTTCTGTTTGATAGAAACACGTCCAATTCATAGGATATCGGCAATATAACTCCATGACGTCTCGCATATGGAAAGCATCTATGCTATGCAATTAATTTGTTCTAAAATTATTGATGATGGTACACCCCTTTATTTGAAGGCGTTACGTGCCTTTGACAGCCTCTGATGGATCAAAAACTTACATACATCGCGAATGACAATGAATAGGCTTAACGAGACAAAATTAGGATAAAAATCTAGAGAAAATCTTATAAAAATAGAGAAAAATTGTCTCGTTATCAAGCAATAAACAATGAAGCCATCATTGCTGATCCCTCATTCTATTGCGACGAAAATTCGTTACAAATTTACACTTAAAAACGTTGATTGGTCGTAGGAACGGTTGATGACGTGAGCAACCTTGGTCTTATTTTATTTCGAGAAAAAGGACACACAAAATATGTTGAATTTTCCAATAATAAAAATTTAAATTTTCTTTCAATGAAAAGATAAGGAGATGTTTTATGATTCAAAGAGATTTTGCTCGCAGTGAAATGAATAACTAAATATGCTACCATATGCTATCGAAACTGACGAAATTAAATCTAAAAGTCATCACGATAAAAGTATCGGTTTCATATCATACTTAACAAGTTTTCAAGGAGCAATTTACTGTTGTAAGAGCTGCAGATTATGGCGATGAAAATTATATCTTACCCAAAAAATTGCCAGAGAAGCGTAGTGACACACATTGTGCAACTCACTGTGAGTGCACATGTTTTCTTCGGATTTCTATCACGGACTAAAAACTGCACAATCTGTGTTCGGCCTTGCTATGTCGTTGGCTTCACTTCTCAAGCAGGTGCGCTAACATGCCACTGACAGTGTGACATGCGCCCAAATTAACTTCCGTTTTTTTCCAGCGACATTTTTGGACAATTAAACCATGACTGCCGTGACAAAATCGTAATAAGTCACGCCTGGGATTTCAAATGATTGCGTTTCAAGAGGCGCCTAGGCGCGTGCAAAGGATGATTATCTCACCGCAAAAGCTGCGAATGACGTGTTTTGAGCGGCCGTTCAATTTTAAGGCCTGGTTACACGCTCAAATTTCCGTCAAATTCCGATCAAAATGATGACCAAGATGGCGGTCGAGAGTTATCTAGACTGATGAGTAAAATTAATTAGAACAGCGTGTTGATTGAAATAAGCATGAAATATGCACGGTTGTGTGGAAATCAGATGAAGGATGAGCCCCACAGATCCATCATCTACCATCAAATTTTTGCAGGCCGCAGAAATTTAATGGTAGATGGTGCGCACCAGTAACCATTTGATCAGAAATTGATGGAAATTTGAGCTTGCAACCAGCACATTATGGCGAGCAAGTCATACCGATGAGAACGTTTACGTATGTAAAAAAAACCCGAAAAATGACTTGTTTTCAAAAATAGCTGTAATATCTTATTACCGGAACGTCACCCTATTTTCAAAAAAATTAATTCCATCAAAAATTAGACGCTCTTTTGGTAATACAAACGCGAAAATAACTATGTAAGAATTTTCATGGAATATAATTGTGCGAACATAACTTGGATTTGCTCAGAATGATATAACTTGTTTTCGGCTCGATTTATTTCTCATATTCTTAATTCGGTGGCACAATTTTACATGCGATTGTTTTAGTGGGATTCGAACTCATTAAAATATTTATGGTTTCCAAAAAGGCATGCAGAAAGTTGGGTAAATTAATTGAATTTACATTTATGGATGGATTCATTATCATCCTAAAATATTAGCTTTTTTTCTTACAGCTAAAGTTACATGCATTAAAGTCGTTTCAGTGAAGTTTCTGTACCTATGGTTTCCCATGATCATAGAACAACTGAGGGCTTCAAATGTCGAGAACATACCTAAAATTCTACGAAAGTGGAAGAAAAGACGATGAATATTAGAATGTATAGGTACTACAAATATATGAAAGTAGATTTCACAGTTAATTTCCGCTGCAATTATCTTTGGACTAGGAGTCCCTTACATATACCTGCTCAAACAATTACGCAGCACCTGAGATTGTTCAACTCGTAAAATTGCTCAGCACACGAATTATCGCATAGATAAATGAACTGCATTTTGCAATAAGGAACTGAAATTTCTAGATCATGCATAGAAGCACCTACCCGCAAAGGGAAACCAAAGGCACATGCGCTGTTTCTGAATTGAGTCGGATAGTGTAGTTCTTAATTGCAAGATGTAAGTCCAAACGTTTGAATCAATACGCGGAGCAAAACGCGGATCTTAACGTGAGGTTGCTCAACACGCATATTAACATGCTCAGCGTGGCGTGCATTGCAATACATCGATTGATCTGTCATTCAAACCTAGGGAAAAAGATCGATAAACTTGGTGTTTGCAACGAACTTTGTAATAATCGATTCTTTGCCACAGCTTCAAATAGGGAAATATCGATAATCGATCATTAACACTGAATATGCCGATCTAAACGGGGGATCAATAACACGCGAAGATGCTGAAAAGCTTGGAAAATACTGTAAACATTATCTGGATTGGTTGCAATTTATTGTGAAAAGGATTTTTTAATGTAATTAATGTTATCATTTCTTTATTTGGGATATTTTTGTGAACTCAGCAATGGACACTGCAATTCCGCCTTCCAGTCGGCAATGGGCATAATTTCACACAAACTCTTCCTTATCCATAACGAATAAGACCTTGTCTGCTAGGCTGTGCTAAGGAAAAACGCTGTATGATCATGGTAAAGTTGCCAAATTTCCTCCAAAAAATGTTTATTTTTGAAGAAAGTCATGAATATACATCTTGGAAATTTTCAGGAATTTTAGATGAAACAACAACCGAGATTTTCTGAAAAATTGGCAGAAAAATATTCATGAATTTACCAAGAAATTCGCTTTTTATCAATGGCAATTTGGCAATGCCTGAAAGCTCATACGGCGTTCTTCCTTGGCACGGCAGTTGCGTTCCCCAAAAAACGTGGTGCCTCCCTGCTGACCGCTGTCCATTTCTCCTCTTCCTCAGTTCAATCGTGTAATCGCACTCCAAGAGACGTCTTCATTGATTTATTGAATCACTCAGCGAGTCGAATTGGGATTTTTGCACCGTTAAATCTTTTAATTTGCTCTCATCGATCTGAGGATGTTACAGCGGCAAATATAATATCCCTAGGCGGAGCTTACTCTCTAGCCTCTAAAAAAGATCGAGCGGAGAAAGTAAAACAATTAATCGGAACCCGTAAAAGTTTTTATCCCGGTTTGAATGAAACATTTATGACTCAATCCTCTTCTTGGTAGTGAGATGCCGTTCGGAGACGCGATTCGAAGGAAGAGCATGCAAATTAAATATCCTGTCCACCGGTCATGTGTGATTAATTATTCCGAAGTTATTTCATGGGTTACCTGATTACATTTATACGTTATGTTGACAAATAAACAATTGCTATTGTTTTCAGGGAGCTATTAAATCTCTCGCAATGATGCAACATCGATTTAATGTACCCTGGTGGTTCGTAACTTTAAGCTATTTCGATGAATTTGTACGCAATACCTGTAAAATAATATAAATGAATGATATATTTGTTTCATGACGAAGCTCATAAAACATTCTCATCATAAGTAGATATAATTAATGATTGAAACAGATCCTTCTCAAATCTCCAAATACTTAATTTTTTATGATAGCCCGTTCACATATCTGTTGGACACTTAATTTCATATACTTTTTGCGGTTATCAGTGCGTAGTAACCTCTATATGAGCCTCTCTCCTTTGCAGTTTTACGTATTAAAAGTGGCCCCTTGTGCTGAAAAAAGCGGCATCTGGAAGTTGATTCATCACGGGATGCATCCCATGTTCCAACATATTTAATACCAGCAACTAACCCGTGCCTCACACAGGACACTATATCGCACGCGATGAGTATAACTTTTTCATGTATTGAGCCTGGACGAATTGATTTAAGAGAAAGAAATACGAATTACCTTCAAATCGATTGATATGCGATATTAGCCACTCTGAAGTTAAAATAGTTGCATCGTTCATTTTGGTGCACCTGCAACTTTTAATGAAAGACAAAGTGACCTAGACATTGCCTTAGGGAGATATCATTACGATAATACGCCAATACAGAAGAATAAAATGTTTTCCTTGTTCGTAACTTCGCATTTTCTGGTGAATTAAACTATTAAAGTAAGACAAGACAAATTATTACCCTCTCTCCACTTTCATACCACGTATTCCACAGTGATCCCGGCCCCTGAAATTGGATATTAGTCACTATAAATTAAACGCAGCGTCATTGACCGGAAACATTTGCTCTTCAAAATCCCGGACTCGGCCCGTCTTTTTATGGAGGCACCTTGAATTTACAACCTTCAATGAACGGCTTGGGGATTATTATGACGTCACTGTCATGCGTATAAGCTCCGTTATTAAAGATTAATCCAAATTTTGTCACTTCAACAGCTATGGACAATACATCGGTTTATTAGACTGACCAGGCGCTGGGGCTAAGCGGGGAACCGTGGTAAGATAAACTTTCATCACGATTCCAATTGCCCAAAGCTGCGCAATGAGACGTAGTTTAACTACGTTTGGACTGCGTTAAGCAGAAATGAACCAAAACACGTCAGCTATTGCCAAAAATTGGGTAGTTTGATTTTTTACATAAACACGGTTGAGCAGATTTTTGTGCAAATTTCAGTGAATTTTCTGCATATTACGAAGCAAAATTATTAAAATTTTCCAAAGGAATCCGCACAAACGATCTTTTGTAAAAAATTATATTTCCCGGTTAAATTTGGCAGTGGCCGATGTGGCTTGGTTTCTTTCTGCTGAACGTGGTTTATTTCTTCTTGTCGTTAATATTCAGTTCGGTGTCAACGTTGATATCGCCACCCTCCGGCCAAAGTATCACAAGCTCCATGTGACGTTTAAAAATTTCGACCGCATCATTTTATTTTTTCCAGAGAAATTTTTCAACGAAGCGGTCCGAAAATTTCACTGAATTTTCTTTGTGTTGCCAATCAAATTCAGTCAAATTTTTAAACAGATTCAACCAAAAATTTCTCTGTAAAAAAATAAAATGGCCGCGGAAATTTTGAAATGTCGCATGACGCTTGTGATACTTTGACCTGAAGGTGACGATATATTGTCCAAACCACCCCCCCCCCTTTTTTTTCAATAAAGTTTGAAGCATATCGTAGCGCATCGTATTTCATGTGAAGATGTCAAATTTCCTATCCCACCTCACTAATTTACATAAACTAAAAAGACCTTAATCAGTTGCGAGGCGTGAATGATTTATTATCGATATATTCCTATTGAAGCTATGGTAAAGAATCGATTATTAAAGATGTTCCCTGTGAACACCCTGTTAATCGATTCTTTTCCATTTGTTTCAATGGTAGATCAATCGATATATCGCAATGTACGCCACGCCACTGACATCAATAGATCAGCCTGACGGCAGGCGCCCCTGATTCGTGCGTTCATTTGTACACATTTTATCTCCAACCCCTCGATGATACTGTTACTTCCGTTTCGTTGAGGAACCTCCTGAAAATCACGAAAGCAATAACGGCTAAAGGCAGACAGCAGTTACGACCCACGGGCTGGTAATTAAACATCGTCTCAGGATACGGAATACGGGATCGAATACGTAACACGGCTAATGAAGAACTGACTGACGTCTTCATCCTCGTGACAGCTCTTTACCCTATCGCATGTTGCCAATCTCTGCACCTAACATACAACGTACTCGCTATCTTTGCGAGGGACAAGTGTTTATTCGTAGGGTTCTAGCTA